GCGATGTTAATCCAGAATGAATGCATTCATGCCTTTTAGTTCCATTGGAATCTGCACTTGTAATTACTTCCGTTCATTAATTACGTTACATACTGCATTCCCATTAAGTTATATACAAGTATTGTGCTTATAAAGTAATTCTAATCTACCGAATTTATCGATTATTTGCTAACCCGCTAAAGTTACGCAGCAAAAAATTGTATCGTAGCACCACATTTCCTCGCTAGAATGTGAAAAAATAATTCTACCACATATTTTAGATGGTAACTGGCAAAAATTTTCCGGTTTCACGCCTGGGTTAAATAGTACTGAAGCGAGTGCCTGGTGATTAGTGTATCCAAGTCTTATCACTACGTCGAAGAGATTTGAACAGGGGTTATTACTGTTTATGGAAGTGATATTCTGTAGAAAGAAGTAGATAAGAAGAAATAGATAACAGACAGATGATAGGATCAAATTCAGTGTCAGTTGAGCGCGTTACTCCATTTTACAACTACAATCGAAAGTTTAACTTTCTGTTTGCCACCTATTCTTTTTTCGTGGCAGAGTATTATATGAAATACAACCATAATAATGCTGAGATATTTGCAAAACTCAGAACCCTAGGCTAGATTCTAACCGGCGATAACCCTTTCCGGCGGGTTACATGTTACTAACTGCACCACCGAGGCCCTTGCTTTGAGTTTTCTGAGCCAGTTTTTTACCCTAACAGTGGTATCAGCAACCAGCCACAATCTAGAGTGATGTTTGGAAGAATTTCAAACTCTAAAGAGCATTTTCAACATAATTATATGTAATTGTCCTGTTAAATATGAGAAATTCCGGTTTCTGACGAAGAAATGCTATTCTACAGCCAAATCGTCTATGCCGTCATTTACCGTTAGTAATGAATTGTGACTGTTTTCATGGAATGTAGGGAACTATCATTATAATTAGATGCTGGTTGAACGTATCAATTTGACTATTTATATATCCTTGAACCCTATGTGAACCAATTACAGTGAAATTCAGCAAGAGTAACACTTTGTCAATCTAATAACCAGTTATGTACATAGTTATCTCTAAGTGCAATCTATTGCATCAGACCGATTCCCATAGTAATGTCCATCTGTCCCAGCGGGCCGAATTCCTCTCACCCATGCCCATACTTATTCATAATTGCGCCACTTCGGTTTATATGAAGAAAGGACTACGACTTAGTTTGGTCATTCTTGCGCAAAAACCAACAACATAGATACTTTTGGCGGCGAAAATTCGTGAACGGTCTTTCCTACATCTTGTTTTCTCTCCTAAAGGCGTGGGAAATGCTCAATCAGTGGTGGTGAAATGAACTTTGCACTCGGAATGGTTTTTTTCATGACTAGTATGATATTTGAGCTCAATTTCTTGATAAGTGGTTAAAAAAATTGAGCACTGTAACAATAATTATGAAGTAAGAGTAAATTATACATTTATAGTCCTATGAAGTCGATCATCTGAAGAACTTTTCACAGTTTTCCTTAATGCATTCTTAGGGGATCATATGACTTTTAGCCATCGGTCAGTTTTTGTCTTGTAGGGAAAAGTTATTTAGGCAGCTGGTTTTTCTTGAATGACTGCTTCATTTGTTACCTAAACACATTACTACACAGTTACTTCACAACTGCCATTATATGCGTAGTTGCATATGCTGCGAGATAGGCGAAACGAAGGACCCGCATTGTGTGGTGGTGGATGCGTTAGCTCCCGGAAAATGTAATAACGCGTTCGTTCCCCATCTCAGACATCTGCGATCCGCAGTTTTGCAAATATCTCAGCATGCTTGTGAATATATGCGTAGTCTTTAAACGAATTTCCGGTTACTGTCGCTTCGTAGATCCGTATCGCTTCTAAAGGATTTTAAGCACATAGATTTTTACTTACATTGTAATCTAGCCATATGATTTACAAAGGGCTTTGAATTCTGCCCACATTAGGGTTTAATCTGGACATTTTATTAGATCCTATAGAAAATTGCTTATATGGTAATTGCTTATCTAATGGACGAGTACGCATATGGTGACCATCTTCTTCCGCACTGATTCTTATGAATAGCAACACGTCGCAGTCACACAGGCGAACCTGCATTGTTATCATAGGCGCGTTTACTATTCAGTAGACTAGTCATTCTAACAAGTAACCATATCTATCCTATATTATCGACTCTAGGGAACCTCATTAAGTGAATTGGAAATTCAGATAGTGTTTGGTCAGCGCGCGTTGTCCAGAGGATGGAGTGGAACGCGACACCTGCCTCTTCTGCACTTTGCGCTAAGATATCGTCGTTCCTCTTCTCCGCCCTTCTCTGTGCTAAGCTGCCAGACATACATCACCTCTCCTTCTTCACTTATACGAGCACTGTCATATTCGTAATGCTCTTGACTAAGTTTTCTCTAGAAAATCCTTCATTTCTCTTTCTTTTTGTGTTTGGTATACAAGCATGGAATATGAAGTTACTCTTTATGGATGAAATTAATAATTATTTGTTCGAAACTTGAGATTACTTTCTCAGAAAGTCCTTAACGAAATGCATTGAGTAGGTTGATCGATCGCTCGCTGGTATTTTCGATATAAAACTTATTCCTTGTCAGCAGTATCCCATTTCAGTGAAGCACTGCTAAAACAAAGTAAACGGCGTATATTGCGCAGTGGTTAGAGATGCCCTTCAATACACGCAGGCCCGACCTCCCATCTCTATAAGGTCGGCAAATTTGTAACACGGTTGTCTAGGAGGATAAAAACACTGACTGGAAACATCCATAAATTACCACAAGTTTTTATGTATGTCAAATTTGCACCCAGTCATCCCTACAGTGTTATGAATGGAATCCAATGCATGATATATTTCTAAGAGATTGTTTAATGGCGAACACTTTATCGTCTGTCCTTTCTATCAGAGATTGGCGCATTTATGGGATACGAACCAGTCTTGATATTCGTGGATTCATGGAAAGTGTCATTAAACGTGAGCCAGTGTCCACATTTATTACAATTCGTCCGAGTTCGTCGTCGTCAACGAGTCGTCGTCTCCTGGAGCGTAGTACGTTTTCAGGGTGTAGCGTATTCTCACCTACTAGTGTTGTCATTTCGAGTTTCATTATCGAGTCACATCGTTCAAAACGTGTCCTCGATGCATTGTCTATCGGAAACACTAATAGCTAACAATCACCGCTCATAGAAAACAAACAAAAGAAAAGTGTCCTCAGTGGGACGGCTTGAATCAAGCCCAAAAGGGGCGCTTGTTTTTGAGTATGAGCTTGCTTCCTCATTGTTGAACATTTCCCAGATGGTTAGTTCTCCAAATCGACCGTTCTTTAACCTCGGCATTAATAATCAATAGCTTCTTGGATTATTAAGCTAACACGAAGATTATCGACTGGGACCATCAGCTCTGAGGAGGACGAAGACGTCGAAACGCTGGCAATGCTGTTTTAACCAATTTAATAGTTTCATGAATTAGTTCTTATTCCTGTGCGTAATGGTCGCAAGCAAGCGATAGTTGTTCTTAGCTCTATGGTCATATTGATTTACTCTTTGTTTGGATTTGCGCAGTGTAACAATACCAAGATGGTCCTTGATCAACAGAAAGCTCTATGTTAAGAAGTGATGGGGACTTGGTGATAAAGTGTTTCAGTTCCACTTTATTGGCTGCGAAGATCCATAGAACACTCCGGATTTCTCCGGAAATTCATCACATCCCTAAGATGACACGATGATGTTTTTACGAGTGGTGGGAACATTGCGGCTCGTTGTAGCGGTCAGCTAGACACTCGGTGACCTTTGCAAGTATTGGCACACCTTGGTCGGCGCGTGAATGTGACCACCACCCGAGCGTTAGCATCTCCGTTTTCGATCGCGCTAGCGGGTGATCTCTCGCCGTGTGTGCACCTATCACATCCAGTGCTGGTGTGCTCCCTCGTCGTGTGCAATTCGTCTGCCCTTCCGGCGCGCCTCGCGTCATCTCGTCCGCTCCGCCTGCTCCCTATTTGGCCATCCCAGGCATCGTTCGTCGGGCCCGCCCCTCTCAGCGGGCGAGCGAAGTCCGTAGTTCTCTTAACTCTCTCAACGACGACAGTTTCGGATTCTGACCATTCTGTTGACAATTATTTATGAAACCACGTTGTAATGTCATCTATTCGACATTTATCTACTCTTTTCATATTTATCCATAATCATTTTTTCCCTTCTCGTGTATTAAGTTTTTCCCTTCAAGCTCTGACCAAGCTTGTGCCATTAAATGTCTATTCCGGACTAATCAATCAATAGGTGAGATCAATATGTTAGCAATGTTTTTAAACCCAATTACTTTTTGCCGAGCTCTGCTGAAATTGCGAAAATCCTTGCTTTATTGGAAGTTCTCACAGTTTGTTGCTATGTTCTGTGTCGATTACAAAGTCGCAATGGGATCGATCCTGACTGTTATTTTGGATGGTACTGTTTGTAATCACTTTTTATTCACTGCCTATTATTTTTTCATGGTACGGTATGATGCTAGATACAATCACAACGATGTTGAGATATTTGCAAAACTTCGGACCGCAGGTGACCGCGGCGGCGGGGATCGAACCTCGTTGTTACCGTTTCCGGGACTACTATTTGTTCTAATTTTCCGGTTATTTTCTCAATATGGAGGCGTGAGATTACTCATTATTTTAAGTGTAGTGAGATAATCCTAGTAACATTTTTATTACAAGGTCTTCTAAGCGTTAGTTGTTTTTATTTATGCTGGAGAATATGAATTCTCGCTACTGTAGAACTCACGGGTCAAATTTTCGAGGTAAAATTGGATTTATTGCTATTCGTACTCTTCATCCTTCATTTGAAATGTGAATATTATTAGTCAAGCAGGCTTGAATAGCCCGAAAAAACTTAAAACGCAACAAGTTTCTTATCCTTCTTTCTTTTTTGTTGAGATTGAATCTATGAATTGTTATGTTGATACTTGATACTTGACTTGAACTTGAACGACCTGTCCTCACTGGTTGTACGGGCCCAACATAATCACCATTCTTCGGAGATTTGCTGGTCAAGCCATTGTGGTTCCCTGGAATCTCGAGGTTAGCCTGGCCAAGGTCTGCCCCAAGTGTTCACCACCACATGCAATCGTATCCCTTGTGGATCAGAGGGAGATTTGCCACCATGCGACTTTGATACCAGGACGGTGGTGGATCTTGGTGTTGATTGATTACGACTTATTTTAAAGATTAGGTATCGTAATAAAGAACTAGCTGCCTTACCGATACTGATAGCCCACAAAGGAGTTGTTGTTCTTCAATTCTTCTTCAAGTGTCAACGATTTTTCTTCTTAGTTGGCACTGCATATTTAGTCCAATCTTTATGGGGACAAAACTAACAGTATTCTCAACCATATTGTTTAAATGTATTCAATTTCTGAATCATCGTCACTTTTAAGGCCACTGAAGATGTTCTTGTCCAGTTTGTTAGTATTTCGTGCTTCTCTCCATTACTGGCTACCCTCTTCCGTTACTATCGATGTTTTTAGTGCCATTTGTGTTGCATTGTTCGGCATGTATGTTGATGTCGCCATTTCAGGTGCCACTAACCGGCCCACGGCCGTCTCTTTTATTATCACCCATTACATCACTGTCGGGTTCTGTATTCTCATTCGTGCATGTCTTTCAATTCTAAACGCACTTATTCTTCAATCCATAAGCCAAACCTGTTAGGAACTCCCTCGAAACACCTTGCCACTGTCGCTAATCATCACCTTATCAGCCGCTTGACTACGAGGATCAAACGCAACGCGACGGGTTCCGTTTGCAAATTCGCGTCAGCGACGGACTCCACGACGCGATCAGCAGTGTGTTCGTGCAATTGGTCGATCGAAACGATCATCCACCCGACATCGTCGGTCCGTCAGAAGTTCGGATCACCGAAGACGTCAGCCGAGGAACAATCGTCGCACGATTCAGTGTCAGCGATCGAGATGCCGGTGATCGTGCAAGGTAAGGGAGTTCCTACGACGAGGGTTTGGTGGTTATATCTGGCAACGTTGCTCATCGCTATCGTTCCTCTTACGGGAGCTATTGGTGAATTATCACTACCATTCGGACTGGATGCTTCATTAGCGAAATCGAGATTCTCATCTTATGTATCACCACAAGAACGTGCTATACAAGTATTTGTTATGAAGAATATCAGTGAAGATACACCTATTGGTACAGTACTTGATACGTTCAAAGCACATGATCCTTCTCTACCAACGTTTAACTACACGTAAGTTTCGTCGAATTTCTCTAAATCTTCCACTTTCCGTTTTTTTTTCTCTTTTTGCTTTTTCTTGTTGGCGATTTTGACGTATGACTCTTAATAACCGCTCTTTTCTTTAAGGTTGTAAAGTGGTAGGTAATTAATTACAATGGGTCATCACAGTCATTTCTCTATGGTATTTGTGATCTGATTTGAATTTCTTGGTCCCGATTTCCCACTAAGTAAAGGGTTTTGTAGCCTATCCAACTAATAACGTACTTTTTGACCAGTAGGACTAATTACTGACGAGCTGGTATGTACTCGTATGTTGGAAGATGAAGTTGTGGACTAAAACCTTAGAACATTCTTCTGCGACTTGAGCATGGATTGCTTTTGTTGCGGTTCCTTGCTAAGGAAGTTGTGAGGGTTCACTTCTCAGAATTTCCGTCCTTGATTTTGATTTCTGCCTTTGAAGGTCTCGGTACTGAATCGATTTCAGAAATGTCTACTAGTTTGGAGTACATTTAGTAATGCGGGAAATTTTAAGTCCTACGAAGTGCCAGATGTCATTCGTAACTCGGCCTGATTGCATTCTCATCGATGCTTAACGTATGCTTTCCTCTTTTTTTCCTTGTTCGCCGCTAGCACATCATCGATTAGAGTTGAAGTATGTGCTACTCTCCTATTCCCTAGGGGTTTAAGTACTGTTTTTGTAAGTATTTTCGGAATAACATCAAGTGTGGATGGATGTTTTGCTATCTTCATAAGCTTGCATCGGATTAATATTCATAAAAGCTTCATGTAACCTCATGAATAGGGTAAAATATTGATTATCTAGCCCAGGGATTTGTCTTTAAGTGAAGGTCAGTTTTCAAAAATTCCATGACTCAGTACGCTAATTGTAGCCCTTAACGGCTTATGTTGGTCAAGTGAATCAGACCGAGTCGAACCGATCGATAGAGGTGGTATTTTGAGACGAGGACGAGTTGATTCACAGCGTGGGCCAGGGAGTTTTGTCTCATCCGTTGTATGGTGTCATTGTACCTTTTCAGAGAGGGTCCTGTAAAAACTGGCCTACTGTCTCTAGTTTTTCATCAGCCTTTAAGAGCATAAGAGTCATTTGTAACGTTGAAAAGTAAACAAAAATCTCCTGGCATTAATAGGTTTTCGGTGTAATTCAGCCAATAATGTCCCCGAACAATATGCAGTCTCATGTGTGATATTGATTTTAGGAAATAACTGAGGTAATATCCTATGGGAAGACTACTGGGAACAATCACTTTACGTTTCTTCGTCTTGATTACGTTCATATCCACTATTATCGATTTCTAGTCACAAGCTTCAACTTCATTCTGAAAAATCGATAACCTTATGGTTAGAGTTCATCATAGGAAATAGATTTATACCTTTATGGTTTGCTGAACTAGTGTTGCTTGAACTACTGCTTGGTAATTATGTCTGAATGAATGAGCGTAAAAGCTGCAACTCTTCGTAATTTCCAGCTTCTTCATTAGCATGCATTCCAGAGGTTGGTTGTGATACAGACTAGTAGAGCGGCAAAATTTTATTACCCATGAGTTAGAGATGTGAATAGGAACCGAATGGGAACTAGAGGTCTTTAGCCTAACTATGAAACTCTACCTTATCTGTAGGAGAGAGATGTTATAACTTGGTATGATAATTCCTTTGATTGAGGCAGATATCTTTAACATAGTTTACAATAAATTCAGACGAGGTATATGAGTGCTGAGAAAGTGATGAAGATGATGTAGGTAGAGGAAATTGCGCGGGAGAATATTAAACTGTAAACACAACCTATTTGGCGCTGTGGGCGAAACTTACTCCTCTTTTGTATACGTTTCCGGTTACTATAGGTTCACCAGTGTGCTAGTCACCATGATTTGTCTCTTTCTGGGTGAATGAGAGCCTTTTTCACTTCGTATTGTCTCCAGCTGAGGTTGACCTGATTCGGCTGTGTTACATCTTTGCATCGGATCTTTTGTCATTATGGTCGAAGGAGAAGGAGCATTATCGACGATGCAAAATCGCTGTCATAGATGACTGAGAATGGAGGAGAGCACATCAACGATATTTGCTGTCGTTTCTGATGGACCATCGTGTTTGTTTTGGCATTCGCACGTGACGGTGGTGATCGAGCGTGTAGAATGAAGAGTGCACACGCTTCGATAAAGTGCAGTTCTTTCGGATTAAAATCCTATGTCGTCTTGTTAGCAGTTCCGATTTGAACAGTTCGCACTTTCCTTGTTTTCAGGTTCAATTACCCACTTGTTTTTGGTTTGCTCGAAGTTTTCATGCTTAAAAATTCGGACTTTGTTTTTTTTCAGGGTTTTATAAATCCGATAGAGCGAAACCAATTTTAGTCATAGCAAAGGGTCACCTGTAACTCATGGAATAAAATAAGTACTCAAAACCGTGGTTTTTAAGGTTCATTCCTGCAATATCTTCCGGTGCAACGGTTGTACAACGACACTCGAAAGATCTTAGGGGACGTAAACTTGTATGGCGCTCGCAAATATAGTGGGGGAAGTCACTGATTACTGGTCAAGGCAATTTATGTAGGTATGGAGGGAAATGAGAGGTCCAAATACCTCGTCAGGGACGTTTGGTGACTTTTGACGGTTACGCTAAAGCGAATTATCGTTGGCGATAGTCATCGTTCTCTATGAACGGGACCTTGGGAAGTGTTTGCGCATTTTTGAATCTTGTCTGTGGTAGAAAAGACTGACCGTAGTTCATGTATTCTATTTGGATCGAGTAATTCAGTCGCACTTTAACCTGAAGTACTCGTTATTCGGTGTGTTTGTCATCAATACATCGTCATTTCGTCAAAGCTTGATGCTTTCAAATACAGTGTGGTGTGTGGTAAACATAGTGAATGCACCATGTGTAGAAATACCCATCGTAATTGGCATCTATATCAACCGGCAATTGCTACCTGTCACTATGTGAGGTCGCGTCTGTTGATGTCCAGATATATCCCTGAGAGCTAGATTTTACCATCCAAACCGCTAATATTCTCACATAATCGATTAGGTTACTTTCTGAATTAGGTCAAGTAATGTACTGATGGCGATTCCTATCTTCTTGAGTGTTAATGTTGCTCGTCGTGCGTAAACTTTTCGCCGGGTTCTCCAGAGAGACAAATATCGAGCGTGGGAATGCATCGAGTGAATAACACATCCGTGAGGCATTGCGACTCTCGGCTAAACGAGGTTTGAGTATCCTTCCAGAAGGCGTTAAGAGAGTGACCCATAGCGATTCGGGGACCTTCCGGATTCTCCACATTATATGAGTTATGTTCACGGGCCATTAAAGCCTTTTTGTCATCGTTTGTTCAAGTGGCCTTGAGTGGGAACTGAACGAGCCGGTAAACCTCCTTTATCTTTGTTGACCGAGGTCACTACAATGGCCAGTGGCATTAAATGGTGTTGTGTTGGAGAATAATTGTTTGAGTTGATATTTAATGTAAAACTGGTATTATATAATAGTTAGGCTACAATAAAAAACACTTGAGAAATTGGCGAAGGATAGTGTTGTTTTGTTAGCAGGAAAAATAACGCCGACAAAAGTAGTTCGATCTGAAAAGACTTGTCATATATGTTTTAATAACGTTGCTATGCAAGAAAACGGTGTGAAGACACGTAGGTAGGAGGGATAGAATGTCTTACTTACTTGGATACTTGGTTGGCCCGTTCTAACTGATGGCGCGGGCCCAAGCATAATCTCCACTTTTTCGGACTTGTACTGGTCTAGCCATTGTGGTTCCTTGGAGTCCCGAGGTCAGCTAGATCAAAATCTGCCCCAGGTCGTCATCACCACAGGCAGTCGTCTCCTTTGTGTATAAGAGTGAGATTTGAAGTCATGCGACCAGTTTGGCACCAGGATGGTGCGGATGTTGGTATTGGTTTACTCTTAGCTGGGTTTCCTGATTGAAACACCAGACTCCTTCTCAGCCTGGGAGATCCTGTTAGGGGGATGAATGGCCCTGCTGTACATTGCAGCCCCACGCCCAGAAACGCCTCCCAGCCACGATGAGGCGGTAAACCGTTAGGAGGGGAATAGATTGTCATCATAAGTTTTTCTTTTTTTAATTCAGGGAAGTGAGGGGCTTATATTCCCATAACAACCGTGGTGTGACGTAGGCCTTCTACTTTAAACGCATAAGAACGTCGCCCACAACTTAATTATTTAGAAGTGTTTCGAACAAAGGCTTTGTTCCATAAGCATGCTGTACAATGTTTATAACTGTAGTACCCGAACATCTGGTGTATATAGATTAGTGCTCATTAGAAACGATCACTTTGTTACATTATTGTGAAGGCTTTGGCAAGGTGCTTCAAGCTCTCTTCCGGGATTAGCCTTGATTAGCATACTGGTAATTTGGGGATAAGCAATCCACTAATCATCATTTGTTTTACGAAAAGTTCCCAACCGCTTTAGGTTCCGAATCAATCGTCAATCTGATCCGAAACGTCAGTTTACAATCGATCAGGACGGGACATTACGTGTTGCTCAACGTTTGGATCGAGAAGACATCAGTAGTTACAAACTTATTATTGAGGCATTTGATGCCGGTAAGTGAATGTTTATAAGTTTTCTATGAGGAGCTTAAGAGTTTCTCTTTTAGCTGGAAACGTTGGAACTCAGTTAGTAGCTGTTTACTTACGTGATGTTAACGACAACGGCCCCGAACCTTATACGGTTCCCAAGTTTTGCGTATTTCCTGAGAATACTCCGGTAAATCAGCAAGGAACATGCGAAATTCGTTGTACTGACAAGGATTCACCGTCAGTTTTTCCTTTTCTAATTCCTTTCTTTTCCATTTTATTCAAGCCGTTACAGTGAATATGGACCACCCTTCAACATGCAATTGGATCAAAGTAAATGGAGATATGGCGATTATCTAAGTGTTACATTTGATGCTCGTACGTATTCTCTTTGCTGTCCCATCTAGTCTATTTCGATGTTCTGTGATCATTTTGATCCTAATTAAAACTAGAAGTTTTAGATGGCGATGGTGAAAATGGATCAATGACTATCCGACCTTTGGTAGTATTCGATCGCGAGGCGGCTAGTCCTGGTAAAATTCTCGAAATTCCTCTGATTCTCACAGATCGCGCGGATCGAACCAATCACGCTTCCGTTCATGTCATCATTGGAGATGAGGTGTGTTAATGAGAGCAAAGAGTTGCGACGGAATGATGAATGTATTGAAGAATTAAGTTAAATGGATAAAAAGGATAAAGTTCTCGGCGTTGATCAATCGCTGAAGGATGCGCCATGCATTAGACTTTACTAAGCATTGTTGGCGGTGATTGAATGCATATCTGGCCTTTACAATGACTCGCGGTGGCCTACCGATGTATGGAGCCAGTACTGCTATCCTCCTTGACAACTCTTGTAACAGTTTGCCGACCGCGGAGGGCTGGAGGGCTCGGTGAGCCTCTAGATCGCCAGGATGGATCCCATGTCTATTCCAGGGCGCCTCTTACCACTGCGACACACGCGCAAAAAATTAGGTTACATTGTAGTAATCTTAGTTAGATGGTAAGGTCCCAGTTTACTGCTGTATGATTCTACTAATTGATTTCTCTCAAATAAGTGGTACTACGCTCCATTTATCCCATAGCTGTTTCTCTCTTTTCTTCTTGTTTTTGCCGATTTCGTCTTATTATGCACACCCGGCTCGATTCTGCGGTCTTGACGGGTTACTATCAATAAAGCTGTCCTAAGTTGTCACATCACATGCCTTATTAGCATGTCGTTCATACTCTCATCGACGACATTACGTGTCTGTTGGAAATTTGTTTGAATCGTACGTAGTTATAACTCAGTACTGAAGGATTCGAATCAAGCCAACCATTCCTAATCTCCCGCCGTCTTTGTCGGACCGGCACCCCTTTTTCGAATTCGGCCGCAAATCCGCAAAAATTGCTGCTCTAATCCATAGCTGTTGTTGCGCATTGCAATCTGGGCCCTACTTCAGTGCAGTCTGATCCACGTTAAAGTAGGGATGGCGTTAGATTCTAGGAAAACCCGTTCATTATGCTACTTAGATATGTTTGATTGAAGTGCTATGCTGAGTCTGTCCATATTGGTTAGTCGAGTTACCGCTCAAATAATAGATAAGTTTGGCATGAAAGTTGCTTTACCTAAGTTTATTTGTGAGCCAACGGCAGCCTCTCAACTATCGTTTCATTTCGTTCGCTGTTTTCTTCATTTATTCATTTATTATTAGATGACTTTGAAGATGGGAAGACAGAGACAGGGCGTTCCCACATGGATTGATTTCATCCCACATTCCTTTAGATGGTCGAAGGAAGGTTAATGCTATGCGCCTCATTAAGGTGGACGGGTCATGTCAGCCGTTGTCGTTGTGCTAAGGTCATACATATTGAGGTGAAAAGGTGTGGAGGACAGGTAGACTTGGGGTCATTTATAAAGGGCGCAGGTTTGACAGAGTAGAATTTGGTAGAGTGGAATGGTATCTTATAACAATTCAAAGGTCTTCTATATATAACCTAAGAGATTACTTAAAACATGTGAATATATTCTGCGAATCCAGAAAATACTGTAAATCATCGTAAATATTGGAATCATCACGTTGGCGGAAGTCGAGCCATCTAAATTTTAAAAAATCTCGTGTTTCTGAGACAAAAAGTGGTTTTCCCTAGTACACTTTATATTACCTTAGTAGGAAATTTCCTTCACAAGGTTAACGGTCTTTTCTGTGACGTTTTTGACTTATTCTTAGCGATAATAAAGCCAGTTTTTTACTTCCTAATAGGCTCACGTTGCAGAATGACAATCCCATGCACGATGGAAAAATGACTATCACCGTGAACTCTTATCTTGGGAAGCTGAAGAGGACTCAGATTGGTAGAGTGTACGTGGAAGATTTGGATGATTGGGATCTTGGTGACAAGACGTTCACATGGAAGGACTCCTTACCCGGCTTCGAACTTTCGCCTAGAGGAGAGGTCGGTAGATGCATATACGAATAATGGTATTAATTAGACAAATGTGTTGGCGTCTTATTTTATCTTTGTTTTCTTAGATCACGATGGATGCGAACATGCCACCTGGTAGCTATCATATATCATCCAATGTTCATGACAACCGTCGTAATGAAAATGCCGTTGGTTATGTAACCGTTAATGTTCTTTTGGTGCCAGAATTGGCGTTCATTAACCAGGTAATCTCAATTGCTTCTTTAATACCAGTCTGTTTATATAACGCTTTTTAAAAATCACTTGTTGTGACTTGTGAGTGAATAGCCTTTCTTCGCAAAGGTCAAAGTTGTCCCAGAGAAAGTGCCGTCTGACTGGTCTTCGGTGGTTAGTAAGGTTTCCTCCCTAAAGTCAGGACAAAACATATCAACATATTCTTTCTTCACCAGCACGGACTGCCTTGTTTGCGGACCCGAGAGTTGTATCCCACGTTGCAAGTCTTTTTTCCAGGACGGTGTTTATTGCCGATATTGATCTACGAGTAACTAAGACTCCGGCTGGAAATGTTGGTCTTGTTAACGTAGGTGACTCTAATGAGAATTAGCCTGCTTCTATACTTCGTAGTTTGACACAGCTTTAACGGCCCAATGGGGCGGCGAATAACCAAGGGTCGATCGATCATACTAAACAATGGTTTGAAGAAAGTAAACGCTAAAAACTTTTAATAATGCTAAAGCTGTCGACGTTGATAAATCCCTGAGGGATGCACCATGCATTCGACTTCATTAAGTATCGTTAGCAGTGATTGAATGCATTTCTGGCCTTTACAATGACTCGCGGTGGTCTACCGATGTATCGGGCCAGTGCTGCTATCCTCCCAGACAAGTTTGGTACCAAATTGCCGACTCCGGAGGGATGTAAGACTTGGTGGGCTATGGGCGCGGGGATTGATTCCACGTGTGTGTCTCAGTGGCACCTCCAACCACTGCGCCGCACGCGCTCTTTTTAAAGAAAGTAGTGTAGATATGATTGTAAACTTCGTTTGTCCCTAGTACTTCTGTAATTTAGGGCTCTATGCAATTATTGCTTGCTGAAGGCTCTAATTTGCAAGCTCCGGAAGATTTCATACGTGTTAACGGCAGTGGAAAGAGCATGTTGAACACATTTGCACATGGAATGGTCAAATACATGGGTGGAAATGTAGTGTTGGATGTTTTCTCCATTCAGGTATGAATTCTACCGTACTTTGTCCTATGATTTAATAGCCATAGCTAGATGATTTCATTACTGCAGTTGGACTACGCTACACTTCAAACTCGTACTGTTCCTGTTCTGAACGTACGTTTCTCAGCTCATGGCTCTCCATACAGGTACTTTACCTTCCCTCTGTTATTTTCGTTTCTTCGGAAAATTTATGGTTCTTCTACTCATTCATTTTCTTTCGATCTAGGGACTCTATCCAATTAAACGGATTAATCTCTTCTAACCGAGATGAATTGCAATGGAAAATGGGTGTTACAATCGTCGGAGTGGGCATAGACATGTGTAAATTCACTATCTGTGATTCCGGATGTCAAACAATTAGCACGGCAGATTTCGTAAGTTAATTTTTGATTTATAACATCGCAAGAGGATTTAAGTCAAAGGGCAATATATGTTAGTTATCGATCGTGCTCTCGAGAACGACTATTGTAGGAGGGCTAGAAATGTGATTTTACAGAATGGAGTTGTTGTCTCTGCGAACAGCACAGTCTTGGTTGGCGTGAACTCTCAGTCGAGAGATGAATGCACTTGTCCCGTATGGCGTCCTCCAACTCAGTGTCAAGCCGGACTGTGTCATAACGATGGTGTCTGTCACAACACTCATCCAGGGTTCTTGTAAGTGATCTTTTCGGTTTTGAAATTCATCCATGGTGTGAACTCTGTTCGCACTTCAGATAATGTCGGGTCAATAGTCTAGTAATCTTGCTTACCTCTCACTATCATAAATTTCAGTTGTGAATGCCGCAATGATTTGCTGAAAGGTTCGAGGTGTCAGGGAACTACGCGGTCGTTTTCTGGAGACGGTTTTGCATGGTATAAACCAATGCCGGCCTGTACTAGTCTCAACATCAGCATGCAGTTCATGACTCTGTAGCTTTTTGTTTCTTTCAAACGTCTTTCTTGGTTATTCCATCGTCAATTAATAGGGTTTAGACAACAGGACGCTATTCTTTTCTATAATGGTCCTATGGATACGAAAACAAGTGAGGAACAGATCGAATATCGTGATTATATCATCATTCATTTGAGAAATGGTCGTTTGGTGATGGAGGTACCTACTACTAGATTTTTACGTGCATAATCGTTCATCTACTAATTCATGTTTTTTTGAGATGTCGATGAATGGTATTGCACCGGTCAACCTCGAAGTTGCCTCCACTCCATTGAACGACGGAACCTGGCACGAGTTAGCTGTGACCCAGATTGGAAAGGTTAGTCTGTTGGTGTTCATAAAAAATGCTGAAGCAATATTTTTTCTTACAGTAGTGATTTCTTTTAAAGTATTTCTGGGACATAGTTTCCTATTTTCTATATTTCTTTTGTGAACAATACTGTAATTGTTTCCCATTTAGTATATTGAAATGGTGGTGGATCAGTGTCGTTACCTTGGAACTCGTTCTGATGATTCGGCTTGTCGCGCATCGCTTTATACACCTGATGATGATGAGCGCCTTAACATAGTAGCTCCGGTGCAGATCGGAGGTACGAATCATTCCCAAGCAATAGGCTTTGCGATTTTTCACCATAACAACTAGGCTTCAGGTCTTGCTCCTCTTTCCGATGATCAAGCTTATCCGTTAGCTGTTCCAAGAACTCCTCTGAATGGATGCGTGCGAAACCTTCGTGTTAATGACGATCACTACGATCTTGCCACACCATCTTACGAACGAAATTCAGCCAGTGGATGTAAATTATGGGGCGGAGCATGTGACAGCAATGCTATCGACAGTCTTACACATTGTGTTCACGGAGACTGTTACGCTGATCTTCAGGTAGTGCGGATTCCATCGTTATCAGTTCTAATTCCTACTGTTTGCTTTAGCGTCTAACATTCAGGGCAGTACTTCCCTTGTTCCGAAATGCATCTGCGACCCAGGGTGGGGTGGTGCTCGTTGTGAAAAGAAAATTGAGTGGATCCAAATGCAGTCAGGCGGTTTTATTGACTACTTACCGAAGATTGCATTCCCGGAGCAAACGAATGACATCGAGTTGTTGTTTATTCCGGGTCGAGTCGCCGGAGCAGCCGAACTCACCTACGGATCGGACAAGTTGCAGGTAAATCGGGACGTATTTCCGTTTTTGGCGGTATACTAACGACAGGGATCTACTAGAGATAATATGTGTTCATCTTTTAGAACTACGTTTCAACATCAGTTGAGATGACTTCTGATGGTTTAACACCGATGGCTAAATTCGATCTTGGTGGTGTTCGAAATTCTGTCACACAACTGAGGATACCCAATATTTCTCTCAAAGAAAACTCGTCATATTGGATGCACTTTACAAGAAATCCAACGCGGTTAGTTGGTCTTGTGGTCCATTCGACGACCCTCTGGTGTGCGGTCTAAGTGGTGAACTTTGTTTCATCTTAGTGATTTGCACCTAGGCTTTGTGCTGAGTGCGTAAGTCTAGTGACTGGAGCAGCTTCCACTGTGTGCATTCACAAATTTCTTCCAGAACATCGTTGTCTATTGACAATGCATATTACACATCACAAGTGTTGGATCCTACTGTTAATTCACAACCATTCACCCTTCAAGTTAGTGAGCTGTTCCTGGGGTCGCACAGTGGTGGACGAGGTTTCCAGGTGAGTTCACCTATCTTCGATAATTTAGCAATATATTTCTTGCTTATAGAGGGTTAAATACGTTGATTACGTGGTCTTGATTTGATCTTGACTTGATTTTAACCTAGAATGTGCTCATTTTAAAGGGTTGTATTGGAACATATCGTTGGTCGAACCAAAACCTGCCGTTACGTCAGTCATTGAATAAAGCCATAGATCCTGATGATGAAAGCATAGTATCCATCGTAAAATGGGATGGAGTTTCTGATGGTTAGTTCGTGGTGGTCTCCTGTTTTTTTTTTTTTTTTTAGATTTCGAATATTGAATTCTATGAAGCAAATGGTAGTGAAGGCAGCCTGATACATGCACTATTTGAAATAGTTTGCAGTTTTGCAGTGTGAAACACAACAGCTTTAGTTTTCAAACCAGACGTCATTTAACCTCGTTGGTAAAATAATGATAACCATCAACTCAGATTGTCGGTTCTGATGAATACGAAGACGTCGAAACGTTAGCCGAATAAATATCTCTGTTAGCCTCGTATAAGCTCAACAACATGAACACAACAGCTTTAGTTCTTTTTCCGTTTCTAAATGGGCAAAAAAGTGGGAACAGACCGTTAGAGGATTAGGTGAACGGAGAACTGTTGCTTGAACCGCTTGTCAAATTCAATTAATTACGATTTTTTAACTTCCTTATTTTCTTTTATTCAATTGTGCAAAGTCGTGCTATTCTACCGCTGTTTTTCTTCTTTGATTAGTTTATTGCTGTAATCGATTCCTAAGGTGTATGAGAATTAAGCCTTTTTTGCGTTTAGGATGCAGCTTACTCATTACGTGTGCGCAACTGCCAGTGGGTTACTGTAGCGGTGCGATGGTATGCGTAGACTTTTGGAAAGGAGCGTTTTGCACGTGCCCTGAGGGGGCAAACGCAATGCTCGGTGATGATGGGCAGGTACATTTCATGAAGTCGAATAGTTATGAACTACACTAGCATTCTAACTGTTTATTCACATTTACCTTTTCTAGCTTATCGGCTGTGGTGAGACATTGGCTGTTGCAAAATTGGGAATCAGTAATCCTGCGATCATTCTTATATTGGTCTCTCTGGTTTTGTTGATCAGTAAGTTATCCCACATCTATTTTTTTTTCCAAGATTATGACTTTTATAAGTAAATCATATTTCTATTACTATTTTTCTCTCATTCCGAAAACAATTTTTTTACTCTTCAAACATTTTTCCTTTATCAGTGTACTCCATTTTTACTTTAGTGCTAGTAATGCTCATGCTCGTTTATGCCCGACGTCAAACAACTCCATTCGAATCTGTACGACCAGAAGATCTCAACCGTGATAATCTTCGACCTTACGCAATTGAAGGGGGAGGTGAAGCGGATAATGACCAGGTTTGTAGAAAAAAAGGAAGATTGAAGGATTCATGATCACCTGTTTTTTTCAGTATTCGATTGCGAATCTCCGAAAGCCGGTTATGCCTATCGATGGAAATGGTCTGTCGTTAGGTCCACCAGCGCCAGTCTACAGGCGACCTCACATCGGTAAGATATTGATGAGAAACCTACTTTCTTAAATACACTCAAGTACCGTTTCTTATTTACTTTTACAGATGATAGATTACGATCTCAGTTGAATGATCTTGAATCGGATCAGAACGCTGCTCCATTCGATGAAATCAGAATTTACGAAGATGAAAAGGATACTGTCTCGGTCGTAACTCTTGAGTCACTTGGCTCAATACCAGATGCTGAGCGACAACCTGTGAGTGTTGATTCGTTGATGTAAGCATACACGAGGATTCCGGGGAACTATGATTCTCTATCACGTATAGGTCTCGTTTTCTAAGCAGCTCACATGATTTTGTGATAAAAATTTGAACGAGAAGGGCAGGATATTATAGGGACTAATTTTACTGACTTCTAGGAGACATGGGAGCAGCGCTTCCCCTCATGAATTGACCATTTAACCTCGTCGTCCATTCCTTCGTATGATCTGTATGCCAAGCGATATCTCGGTGAAAAGTGTTCACTAAAATTTGGTAAAACATTATACTGTAGGACTTTTTCTGAGTTTAAAGCAATTGAAGGATTATATTGTACTAATTTTTGTTCAACTGTTCTATAAATACGGGTTTTTAATATGTTTTATCAAATTTCCACTGCTGCTATTCAATTTGCTTTCAATGTCTGTGCTCAGTGTGCATTTTTTTCTCCGAAAGTTATTTTATAGCTCGAAATACATCTCATGTTGTTTTATGATCGATTTGTTCTGTTTAATAGTTTTATAGCTTCTTTGTATTTATCGGTTGTGTAGGTCGTGGACCATGTTTTATTGGTCCCATGGTGCCTCCAGTAATCACCGCCCGATTAACTCACTTTCACTATATGGACATGTATAATTTCCCTCAAATCGAATGCCTCACAGAAAAAAAGGCTCTCATTACTATCCTGCCCCAGTCATACCCTCAAAGGGTGGCGTATGTTCTATTACATGTGTTGTTATTTTTATTATGGTGAATTTTAGTACCCTTTTCTGAAATGGGTAGTTGGTTCCTCAACCAATGCTCTTCATATGCAACAACAACTAACACTGTCTATTTATTGTATGTATGTTTTTATTCTGATAAGAAATAAAACTACAAATGAGACAACATGATCGATCTGGTCTTTGTTCGTTTTTCTATAAGACAATCGTTTTATTTATTGCCTAAGGTTTTTTTTCTTCTGAAGTTAAGGTATCATAAGCCTTATGATGATGCGGAGAAGTAGAAGTGTCATTGCTAGTTTTTCTAGCACATTTGAGTACTCCAGAACGGCTTTTTGCATGATTTGTGATAGGTGTTTTAAACCAGTTTGATCTCGTCGTCGTGTCATCTTTAGTGTTAGTGGAATAATTTGGTAGTGTTAGCGGTAGCATCGTATTTCTTACATGTATACTAGTAACAATAGCTGCTTCTCTGACGATGAGTTGGTGTGGTCAGCCGGAAAGATCAAACAATAAGGTAATAGGGGTTGAGTGGTGGGCCATTAGTCGGACTTCATTTACGTGCCACCATCATAAGACCACGGGTCACGAACCTTGAAGACTCGGGCCTCATGTTATTAGGTTTGGCGTTCAACAATCACGTGCAAAGGAACCGAGGGAACTACTATACATCTTAAAGAAAGAATTAGAAACTGTAGCTTCATAGAGAGTTTGGTTTCATCCCATAAGAAACAATCTCTAGATCAGTTAATTTAACAGATACCTCGTTCCTTTAGTTTCTTCTAACCAGCTATAGTTCGTTTTACCTAGTAGTTTGGTGTCATGGAAAAACCTGTTGTTCGGCGAGTTCTGGTAAACTTTTGCTTTGTAAACAAAACTAAACAATATCTATCAGGTTTTGCCCGGTGGGACGGTGTCATCTCGGTGGTTCAAGGAAGCAGATGTGGAATTAAAGGTGGATAACGTGTTTTGTGCACAACGGTTTATTTTTTTTCCAAGATCGACTTGTTTATCTGTCTAATTCGGACTGTTCATTTCAATCCGGGATGTTTTACTTCTTTATTTTCTACCTACTGCAATTTTCCCGGCTGAGTACTAAGCAAAATACAACCGCAAAGTTATTGAGATATTTGCGAAACTATGGACCGCAGGTGTCTAAGGTGGGGAACGAACGCGTTATTGTCCTTTCCGGAGAGTGACGCGTTCACCATCACACATCACACCATGCGGGTCCTTCGTTTCGCCTGTCTCTCAGCTAGGTCTATCGATCAGAGCCACCATCAGCAATCACCCATCAACGGGTTTGATCTATGGAGCCCACATCGGCATTGAACCCAGTTAAGCTGAAGCTGTAGTTGAAATCACAATGTTTGGCTTTTTTATTTTCTGCCTACTACAATTTTCCCGGCAGAGTACTAAGCGAAATACAACCACAACGTTGCTGAGATATTTGCAAAACTCTGGACCGCAGGTGTCTAAAGGTGGGAACGAACGAAAGACCCGCCTGGTGTGGTGGTGAACGCGTTAGTCCCGGAAAGGTCAATAGCGTGTTCGTTCCCACTGCAGACACCTGCGGTCCAGAGTTTTGCAGATATCTCAGCAACGTTATGGTTGTAAATCTGGAATTTTCCACATCGTTTGTTTGAATTCGAAATAGGAAAGTATCACATGAGCAGGAATTGTAGGACAGACTTTGATAGATTCCTTATGGTATTTATTTTTTAGAGTCTCAAAACTATTCCCTCATTAAACTACAAATCAGCGATTTCTTGCTCTGAGCGGATATAAAGCATGAAGAAATACTTCTACAATGATACTGAGATATGAGGAAAACTCGGAAGCTCAGTTGCGCCCCGAACCCGCGACTACCCTTTCCAGGGCTCACATGTTATCCACTGCCTCACCGAGGCCCTTGCTCTGCCTCTCAGCCAGTTTAGGCAAAATTAATAAGCGATAAATAACATTGCGATTTCGACTGCAGCTTCAGCTTAATTACGTTCAATGCCGATGTGTGCTTCCCAGATCATTTCCGTTGGCTGGTGAATGCTGATAGCAACGTGAGAGCCTCAGTGGGGCGTGCAGTGGACAACACATGAACCTCTCAGAACGGTATTCATGGTTTCGAAGTCTAACTGAGGTGCTGAGTTCTACGCATCATTGAGGTTGTATTCCACATATCATCCTGGGTTTAAAAGAAGAATAATATGCAGTAAGTGAAAGTTACACATTATGGAGACCTATTTCCTTTTCGTCGTCGTTGTCCTTTGTTTATTTCACATGTAAAAATGCATTTTATGGTGACTACTGCCTAAATATTACAGTGGTTTGCATTTATAGTTTATGCCAACCAAGCAATGAATCACGTCGCTTTTGTCTTCTACTTTCCCAGCTTTCATTCAGGCATAGAATTTCTTTCCCATACAGAGGAAGCCGTCGTCGGTCGTTTCAATGAAACAATCGAAGAAAGTTCCGTAGTGAGAAATCATGGTGATTGAGAAATAAGCAGATTGAATGACTTGTAGATGAAATGCATACATTATAATGTGGTAATGTTAGAACTTCGTAAAAATGAAATGGTAGGACGATCGAATTTTTTCAAGACTGATCATCATTTGATCTCAACCTAGATGATCAACAGCACTTTGTTCCATTCATGAGCTTACATGGAGCTTTTACACAACTTTTATTCGACCAAGCCTTCTATGTGGTTGTTTTCATCGGAGCCGTGATGTTCCGAATTGATGGACCACAGCCGTTCGTCCATGCGATTTGATTCTTCGTAGTCGCATTGTGTTCAACATAGCACGAATGTGCTAACCAATATAATACTAATAGCTGCAGGATATATTTTAAATATGGAAACGGGTCAAAATGGATGGCCGTAGATTAACAACCGTTCTGTATCGAAGAGTGCTGTCGAGTGAAAAACGTTCGTTCGGGGGATGCCTCACTCTAGAAGATTCAACTTTGCGAGACAACGAACATCTATAACGAAAGAGGGGTTGATTGTTGACAAGCAACTTGAATCAAGGCGGCACTTAAGAACGCGAAGGCACTCGAACGTCAGCAAAATAGAACTTTTTTGAGGACGTTATTCCTAATGATCTAGAAAGTAATGCTCGGAGTATGACTCAGAGGAAGAAACACTGATTGCTCGGCAATTCCAGAGTCGAAATTTACCACTCAATTGACTCAAATTGATATTGTTTGTGAATGGAAGAAATATGAGACATTGAGTAGTTTTAGTGGTCCTTGATCGGTGAAAAACTGTAGATGTTTCTGGCGCATGATAGTAACAAATGGAGACTGCTGGTATCCGATAGAATCACTTGATGATTTAGAGCGAATTACACATACCTAACCATGAATTTCCGGTTGTTTCCATTCGTTGTCGTGCGTTGAAGCTGCATAGTAGCCTTTCCTCGCTTGAGAAATGCGAAGGGCGTTGCACTTTCAATATGGCGCTCCTTATATTGTTTTGAACAAGGTTATAACCAAGAACAGTTCGTTGAGCTCAGAAACTAGCGCACACTACTATTGTTTTTAATAAGGGTGTACGACGGATTGGAGCATACTTTCGCCAGGTTGCCCTCGGAAATCCAGGGAACTACAATGGCTCAGCCAGCAAATCTCCGAAAAATTGTGATTATGCTGGGGCCCGCACAACTAGTGAGGACGGGCCGTTCAAGGATCAAGTATCAAGTACCTACGGATAGTCCTTTGATTTCTGAAGCTGTAGTAGAGCCATCGGAAGAGAAGAAATCCTGAACTGTTAGGCGAGCACTACACGCGCAAGACGTTTTGTGAACTAAACCCGAATTAATCAGTGACTTTTAATTAAATTGGAATAAATAACGTTGGCGTTTTTTAAAAGTTTACCACCATACGGTTGTCTCTTTGTCTCTCTTAATGCTATCACAACTTTACAAGTTAGTCATTGAGTAATGTCACTCAGAATCTCCAAATGCAAAGAAGAAACGTTTGCGATGTTTGCCACCATTACTAACGAGACGGGTAGAAACGGAAGGTGCACGCAAAAGAGTTGAATTGGTACTGATCCGAAATCTTGGATTTTCGCTTTCTTCAAAGCCTGTGAAACGAGTCAATGGTTCAAAAACATTCGTACTCTCGATGTAGTGTCTTCACCAGTCGAACAGGGCAAACTCGCCCGGCCATGCTCTTTTGTACAGGACGATTGTTGTTGATAATGATTGTCTGGTGGTAGCGGTACTAACTAATCGATGTGTATTCTTTCAATGACAAGCTAACACGGAGAACGAATGTCGGTTTTTGAATCGTTA